TAAATCTATAATTAGTGGCATTTTTGTAAATGGACACCCCTAAGTGGCATTCTTGCAAATGTGTATACAAAAAGTGGCATTTTTGTAATTGCCCCGATAATTTAACAAGGAAAATTCTCAAAATACTACAAGATCATTTTTTTAAAAGATAAAAAAAAATTAAAAATGTTTGAGTCGTAGAAAATAGCGAAATCATGTGTTACAAAACGTGAAAAATAGTGACAATATTCGTCATCAATATGTTTTTGAAATTTGGAAAACGGTTAAAATTAAAAAGAATATATGTTATATGGTAAAAATAGTGGAATCTTGTTTACATAACGTGAAAAATGGTATACTATTCATCATAATACATTTTTGAATTTTAATGAATTAAATTAAACATGTGAGGTTAAAAAATGAAAGTTACTTTACAAATCACAATTAGTTGACTTGATAGTTGAGACTAACAAGTAAACTTGATAGTTGAGACTAACAAGTAAACCTTGGCACGAAGCGGATATCTAAAAAAATACAATATTTGTTATTTATTTTGTTTATGTCGGATATCTAATAATCTGATTCGTTTTGTTTCGAAAACTTCGGATATCCGAAATTGCAGATATCCAAAAAAATTTAATATTTACGGATATCTATTTTAAACAGAAAAATAATTAAATCATATCTCTTTTAAAAAAAAAATTGTTTCAATATAATATTTAAACTACCTAATGAACAAATCTAACATATAATTTACCTGGCCCTACTAACAAGTAATTACTATACAAAGATATATTACCTATTAATATAATATTACTAGACTATACGTACTAGATATTTTTTGAGAAAACTTGAAAGGACTAGAAAAGCTATACACGTTATTAAAAAAAGATCAATGGACATTAGGATCGAGCAACCAATTTTGTTGTTGGTGTAAACCAAATATTATTTGGTAGTTTAAATACGTAAACAACTTTTGACCAAAAAAAAAAAAATACCAAAACAACCTTCCGGTTAGGTAGATTCGGCGGGATGGGCTTCTAATATGGTTTTAGTGAATAAAACAAAAAAGTTAGGGCTAATATTTTACTTCTTCCATGCCTAACTTTCTTTAACGACATCCAAAATAGGTGTGATAATAAATGTGAACAGTATTTTTCCGAATTGTATTGTAACCATTGAGTGATTTTCCAGCTATCAACAAAACCACAACACTTGGTTAGAATTAATTAATTTCAAAATGCCAACGAATAGTTAGTTCTCCCCTTGAACAATCAGTATGTAACAACAACGGTTCTCAACTCTTTAATCCGCATCATTTTTTTTTGGAGGTTACGATCACGCAAGACAACTCTCTCGGTTGGCCACACACAAGCGACCAAGCATTTAATGCATCTAATAAAGCAAAAACAACTCAGTGCATGGAACACGGTTTTCCAACCGAAGTGATATCATCAAAGGTCAATTGGATGCACCAAAGTTATCATGACACGTCCCACTCGCCAAAAGTATACAGCAATTGGTCTCCTAGAATCATACGATTACTACTCAAAACCTAGGTTACGTGGAAACTTCACTCAATATCCGTTTTCCATTTTGTAAACGTTTCGGAAACGGAAACGCGAGAAACGTATTTTTTAAATATTCCAATTTGAAAACGTTTTAGAAACGTTTTTCCAAAATTGGAAACGCGGCCGAAAACTTATTTCTAAAATTGGAAACGCGACTTTTGGTTTTGGAAGCAAATTGAATCAATACTTTGAAAATATAGGGATTTATTTATCGTTTTCAATAAGTTTTAAACCCTAATTATTATATACTAGTACAATCTTTTTCTCTAATCATTACTGTAACCTACAAAGGTAGAAGAATCGAAGAGATAACCAAAGTATTTTTTCCAATTACAGTAGATTTGTTATTAATTATTGAAATCTTGAAGTCGTTACATAAACGAAGTGTTTTTTGTTCAAGTCAGATTGGATTTGTGTTGTTTCAAATATTTTAAAACCATTGATATATTTTGTTTCATGATATATATATACGTTTCCAAAACGTTTCCGTTTCCTTTTTTCTAAAAAAAATCGTTTCCGCGTTTCCTAACGTTTTGCTTCCACGTTTTCGTTTCCGATTCTATGCAGCTTAACTCAAAACTCCGTTTCTAGACCTGAGTCAGATATTTTATTTTAAGGATGACATATAGAAGATGAAAAACAGATCAAGAGATGGACATCTAAATATCATAAATCTACGTCTTCTATACTACCGTACACATGCTCACGCTATAAAATTGATGCTCCGACCTTACGTCACATAAAACACCTCTTCTGTTCAGAACTTATCAAAACTTTCTATAGTTGGAAACTAGTCTGCCAAACGCATATGCCCCATGGAGATAGAATTTTAACCCGACTCTGAGGAAAATTTCGCTCCTTCGACCTTTTTTAAAGTTATCTAAACATCTATTTGGACCTCGGATAAATTATTAACCAGGCAGGCATGAAGTAAAACTAACTATTATGCATATATACTAATACTAACTTCATGTTTTCTTGGCCCTCTACTCACAGTTTTTCATTATGACTCGAGTGTCTCATTATGGTTTGAGCGCAATAGAGGTTTGTTCTTACGGGGTTGCCATGACCATATCTTGTTGCCGTGAGAAGCCAAATGAGGGGAACAAACTATAAGCATCAAGAGGAGCTGAG